AATTGGTTCAACTTGTATGTAAGCAGGAAACACTGGGCACAACCTAGAAAAATCAGATTTCTTCCACCCCTACTATCAGGAAGCAAAAGTGTAAGACTTCCCTTATCAGAAGAAAGATGGACTACAAATAAGACAAATAATAAATAAATGAACAATCCTATGCATGCTGCTGGGGAATGCATGGATATACACATTCCTTATTAGCAAGGTGCCAGTGGAGAGTCAGAAAGACCCACACAGGGCTCATCCTTATATATTTGTCTGTTGTTATGTGTGTTAATCAGAATATATAGATTTTCCTGCTATTTTGTATTATGTAATTCTGGTATTACATTCTGTTTCTTTTCAGCTATTTAAAGAAGTTCTGCTACTCAGTGCTTTCTTTTTCTTTATGGTTTCCTGCAGTATTTTTAGTTTTGAAGTGCAACATTTTTCAGGCTGCCTAGAAGCTGAAGTAGCAAAAAGATGAAGGCATAGTTGTTTTGAGGATAAAAGTGGGACACACTTAGAATGCTATTACAGCACAATAATCTACTGATGATAATTTATCTTCTAGGTAAAATTTTGTGTCCGGAGTGTGCAGAACTCTTCCATACATAGCCTTTCATCCAAATTCTTTCTTTTTAAACTAAGTTTACTCAGCTGATCAGGTGGTGGTGGGAGTCTCCCATTGGATGATTCTTGAATATTAATTGAAGGAATTCGTGTTCAGTTTCTGCCCATTTGGGCAACAGATACAGCATTGTTTGTTCAAAAATAAATGTAAAATTATAGAACATGGTTCAGCTGTACTAACTATTTTGAATATTTGTATTTACATTGTAACCTTGTATCTACTGCAGTTACAGTGTACTTGCAAATCCATCTCATAGGAAATGATAAACAGAAGCTAAATCTTTAGTGGTTCCATTTATTTATTTATTTTTGTTGTCTCCTAGTGTTTGTCTGTAGCCATGAAGGAAGCAGCAGAAGGTGTGGCGGACAAGGGGATCTCCTCTCTGGTTCTCTTGGAGTCCTAGCACACTGGGCCTTCCTTGCTGGACCAGAAAAAACAAACGGGTAAGGTGTTCCAGGTCCTCTGGTCAATTTGAACAGCTAAGGTCTCCAGCAGAACAGTGCCACAGGGATTACAAATAGAGGGTGTAATAAAAAACAGAGATAAACATAACCTAAGTAGCACGCTTTTTGCTTTGTCCTCTTCTCAAGTTAGAAAAAAATAAACCTGAAGACTTGATTATGTGTTTCTAAAGGAAATGAGAAAAAGAGATCTACATTGAGAGTGCCTAGGTTATTAGTCAAGAAGAATTCAGAAGCTCCTTGAAGATGGTGCACATCCCGGTTTTAATTGAAATTCTTCTTTCCATTTTAGTCAAAACCCCTTTCTTGTGGCTGCATTTGGAGCATGCTCGCTTACAAGGCAGTGCAACAATCAAGCTTTTCAGAAGTTTGGACGGTCTATGACAGCCTCTGACATGGTTTTAGAAATTGGTGCAGCCTTTAATAAACTCTTTGAAACCTAAGACCAAAGCAGCAGAGGAGGAAAAACATAACTGACAGCAACAGGAATCACAGTAGGATGTCCATTCATGATACACTCATTTTCAAGTGCTGTTAGCAGTATTGGTATAGTAAGTAGTTTTTATTTTTTAAAGAAAATAGGGGGAAAATAGGTATTTTTTAAAGAGTTTGGAATACATTTTTGGCTGAATACTGTAGTTGCAGATGTTATAATATAATAAAACTAAACTGAAAGTGTTTCTTCTGTTCTATCTCACATGTTATTGAGCAATAATGAATTTATGTGTTTGCAGCAAAACATGCACTTGATATACGACAAAAAAAGAGCCAACATTAAGCACTTTCAAATCTGTTTGTCATTTGTACAGAATTATTAGAATTTACTCCCTAGTAACTGAACAGAACTGTAGCCCTAAGCTCAATTGGTTTCAGTAGAAGGACAGTTATATGCATCTTTCTGCTACTGAAATAAATTGGATTTGAAAGGACTTAACTTTGGTTGGATTGTGTCACAGGATTCTTCTACTAGTTCAGCTTAATTCTTTGCACCAAGTTCATTTCACTTTTTTTTCCTTACAGGGTTTCAGTTTTTCACAATTATTGTGCAGCTTTTGAAACATGCCATCTTTGAGCAGCAACTGCATGCAAATTGCCTTTTGAGTCCTGGGTACAGAGGCTTTTTTTCTATTTGTTTGTTCCTTTTGGATGGAGAGGGAGGGAAGGGCATTGCTAGTCTTAAAAAGAAAACTATCACCTTACTAAAAACTGTAGAATGTGGCATGTGAAAGTAGAATTTATTTAGCTGAATGTATTAAAGCTTCACCTGCTGTTCAGAGCTAATTTAGGAGACGAAACCAAATGGAAAAGGAGAGCTAGGCATACTTTTGCTGAGAATGTTCAAAGAGCTAGTGAAAAAAAGGTGGGGACAGAATTTAGGAAATTATTCACTGTAAAGCATTCTTGCTGTTAAGACCTGCCTAATCTTTGCATCAGAATAGTCAATAATAAGTTCCCTTCATGCTTTTATACCAGCATAAAAAGTCACCTTCAACTGTTGGTTATTGCAACAATTTAGTTTGTGGATAGAATTTTTGAAATCGCCTGCATGTACTGACTGCAGAACAAAAAGTAAATGGATGCCCTTAAATTGTACAACATTAAAGAAAAACAGGAAGCCTTGATAAGCTATCAGAGCTCAGCAAATAATTCCTAACCTAATAGCAGTGGTCTGACAAAGCAGCACAAGCATTTATGAGGCACATCCGTTGTTCTAAATGTGTCTTGCTGATTTTTCTAACTGACTAGATAAAAACTTGATTTTGTAGCTTCTATTCACCAAGTATGGTGTTTTTACTTTAGAAATTCCACCTCATTTATATTGATTTTTTTAAGACTACAGAGGAAGATGATGGCAAAAATCCAATTTATCTTTACTTGAATGACTTGCAGTCTGTTGCTATACATATTTACTCAGAAATAGGTTCCAATAAATTCAGTGGGACTTATTGGAAAGTATGTATATGGACAACTGCAGCCTTGGCCTACAGTCTCTAGTCTATAGAAGCATTCCTGCTTCTGTAGGGACAGACTGTGTTGTTAGTTTCGTATAATACGCAGTAGATACGCTACCATTAACATTCAACTGGAAAACAGGTGATTTCTCTATAAATTCAGCGTGTTTATTGGTAACATGTGGATGCACTGTGACTACTACCTCAGAGCATTGTTTTTCTTGCATGTTCTTTTAATACAGTGTATTCTATTCCTTTTTTTCTATCAAAGTTCAGAGCAACAATTCCAAGTAAAAAGAAGTTTCAGTCCTAAATATTGAGAGTATAGGTGAGGAATAACTGCTGTGTAGAGAACAAGCACGGAAACTTTTTTTTAAAAGTGTGTGTGTGTGTTTTATTTCCTCACTTAGCTTTTGATAATACAACTTGTGTTTGGCATAATGTGCCAAAAGCATGATATGCTTTTTTAGAGCCATAGCTCTAAGAGGTTGCGTATATTAAAGCAAAATCTATTTCCAAGCCATGGTCTGCTCATGATGGAGTGGGATCTCATGCGGTAACCTAATTTGAGGAGGAAAGCCTCAATAAAGCTTCAGAGCCATTCCTTTCCACCTGCGCAGGCACACAGTGGTATTGTAGAATGTGAGAGAGGAATGGAAACCAGTTGCCCTTCCAGGTGTCCCATTTCCCTGGTGCAAGCATCTTTGCTCGCAGGTTCAAGGAAGGTTTGAATGAGTATATAGTAACTGGGCATCCTCTTTGTCTAGTTTCCTACCATATTACCTGAGCCTATCCTGTAGGTGATGGAAGTGAGGGCAGTGTGTGTATGTCAAGACAATGTTCTGAACCCACTTGAGGCTTTCTGCTTATTAGTACTGCATCAGTTGACAGAGCTTCCTGTGTTTACATGATAGCACTGTCTTTGTAAATCCTCTGGTTAAAATCGAACAACTTTATGCTGTAGCGCTCATCAGTAAATTACATTATGCAAAGGGTACCATTAGAAATGAGCTGTCACTACTTTAAATATAAGTATCAAAATTCTATTTCTAAGGAAATAAATACACATTAACTTTTCAAACAGATTAAAATAGTACAGAGTTGAATCTGCCTGTTTTTAATTGTATTAAAGAAGTTGCAAATGGTGTATAAAGATTTTACAGCTGAAACAATCTATAGATGTAGCAGATTTTTCCCCTCCATAAGGAAATAAAATTTGACCAACTGAAACAATTGCAATGTGTATTTGTTCACAATGACCTTGTTAGGCCGTGACTAATGACTGTGTACCATTGAAATTAATCAACTTGTACTTGTCCCTTAAATTGTTATATATGGCATACTGTATTTTGTGCAATTATTTGAGTCTTTCCACTCCTAAATGGTATTTTAAGGAATTCTTCCAGTAATCTGAAAAATACTACCCCTGTTCTTGAGCCTATCTGGCAGCTGATATACTTCTATAATGCTAAAGCTTCAAAAGCAGAATGTTGCCAGTAATGGAATCAAGCACTTTGCTCACTGTATACAATTATCAGCCACACCATTAAAAGCCGCTGACAAGTGAAGTGAATAGCAGTGATTACATCATTTAAATGGCATCTTTCAAAGGGGTAAGATATATTAGGCAGCAAGTGAAGAGTCCTTGAATTTCATGTGTTGGAAGCAGGAAATATGGGCAAGTGAAACGATCTGAATGACTCTGTCAAGGGTCCAGTGGTGATGATGGCTAGATGACTGGGTCAGAGCATCTCCAAAATGGCAAGTCTTATGGGGTGTTCCCTGTATACAGTGGTTAGCACCTGTCAAAAGTGGTGCAAGGAAGGACAACCAGTGAACTGCATCAGCGTTGCAGGCACCCAAAGCTTGTTGATGCATGTGGGGAGCAAAGTCTGGTCTGATTACACAGAAGAGGTACCATAGCTCAAACTGTGGAAAAACTTAACACTGGCCATGATAGAAAGGTGTCAGAACACACATTGCATAGCAGTTTGCTGGGGCTGCGTGGCTGTAGAATGGTCTAAGTCAGTGGTCAGGGAACAGGGGTAAATTGTCCCAAATGGGATAAAAATGAAAATCCTGGGGGTAATGAGGATGGTTGCGGCAGGCATTTTACCCCTAGGCATTTCATTTCCGACAATGCTGTGCGTAGGCGGGCATTCCATTGTGGGGAGAGCAAGCCCCAGTGAGGAACTGCACAGGGCACCCGCCTTCCCTCCTTGCCTCCAAAGTGGGGGGGAGGGGGGCGCACCAGGCCAGCTGGATTCTTTGCCTGGTGGATCCCTGGCTGGGGCTCTCCTTCCTGCCCGCGCCCACCCACCCAGTGCGCTGGCGAGGAGGCCTCTTTCCCACCCCGCCTCACCTGAGCTCATGGCCAGTGGACCTGCCAGCCCTGCAGCGCCCGCCTCCCCTCGCCAAGGATGCGCTTTCCCAGCGGTGTTGTGGCTCCAGACTGGCTGCCCGGGCGGTGGCCACAGATCCCAGGCAAGTGCAGAGGCAGGGTGGGGGGCGGCCGCAGACAGCAAGAGCTGGGGAGGGGTTAATGTCAATGTATATAAATTTTGGGGGGAGGTAAAAGGTAAAAAAGTTCCCTGACCCCTGGTCTAAGTGCTCACGGTGAGCCCTGTCCACCATCAAAAGTGCCTAAAGTGAGGATGTGCATGTCAAAACTGGACCATGGAGCAATGGAAGAAAATTGCCTGGACTATGAATCACAATTTCTTTTAGATCAGGGCAGGTACGTGTACATTGTTTACCTGAGGATGAGATGGCAGCAAAATGTACTATGGGAAGAAGGCGATGTTATGCTCTAGGCAATGTTCTGCTGGGAAACCTTGGATCTTATGTGGATGTTACTTTGACATGTACCACCTACCTAGGGATTACTGCAGACCACTTTCATGGTAATGATGTTCCCTGATGGCAGCAGTGGCCTGCAGAAATTGTTCTGGACTTGTTTGAGGACCGTGACAAAGAGTTCAAGGTATTGCTTTGGCCTCCCAATTCCCCAGATCTCAATCAGATTGAGCATCTATGGGATCTGCTAGAATACTAAATCCAGTCCATGGAGGCCCCACCTCACAACTTGCAGGACTTAGCACTGAGGAGTGTGAAAACTGTTGAAAGTAGCTAACCAAGTAGCTAGGCTCCCTCCTTTGTTCAGATTATATACTATAAATTCACAAAGTGTGAAAATGCAAGAGCTTGGCAGCTGAGCATTGCTTCCAGAAGTGCAGAAGCCGAATTCAAAACAGCCATAATGGCAAGTTGTTTCTGTTACTTGTGCTTTCAGTTTATTGATGCTGGATGTTTGACATTTAATATAACCAGTGTTCTTCCAACAACAAAAAAAGTGTGTGGGGGGGGGAGAAATGCAGCTGTTGGCATGTAGCTTAGAAAAGTCACTACTCAAAACACTTTTGTAACCTCAGCCTATGCATGCTTATTCTGCAGTGTGGTCAGAGTGCCACATTTTCCCCCTATCATAATGTTTGCAGGTTTTCTGTCTTCAAACAATATAGGGAAGAGCCTAATGTTTGTCATAAAAAAATAGTTAAAATCAGAGTATGGAATGATGAGAAAGTCAGTGTAAGAATTGCAAATCTTTCATTTAAAAAAAAATAAAGCTGAACTGAGAACAGTTGTTGAATGAATGATTATAGGTTTTAAAAAGTGGGTTTCATCACAAGGAAGGCCTAGGTGGTTGTTCTTCCAATAAAAAAAAAAAAAAAAGCTGAACTGAGAACAGTAGTTGAATGAATGATCATAGATTTTAAAAAGTGGGTTTCATCACAAGCCTAGGTGGTGGTTCTTCCAAGTACAGTGGTGCCTCGCTTAACGAGCGCACCGTATAACGATGAAATCGCATAGCGATCCGTTTTTTCGGATCGCTAATGCGATCGCTGAACGTTTTTTTAATGGGGAAAAATTCGCTTTGCGAAGACCGGTAAGCGTTTCGCTTACCGATCTTCGCAAAACGACCCACGACGATCAGCTGTTCGGTGGCCAAAATGGCCGCCGGAAGCCGGGAAATGGCCCAAATTTGTCATAAAAAAATAGTTAAAATCAGAGTATGGAATGATGAGAAAGTCAGTGTAAGAATTGCAAATCTTTCATTTAAAAAAAAATAAAGCTGAACTGAGAACAGTTGTTGAATGAATGATTATAGGTTTTAAAAAGTGGGTTTCATCACAAGGAAGGCCTAGGTGGTTGTTCTTCCAAGTACTGTGGTTGTGTTGTTGGCCTAGGACTGAGCCCACCTGTTAACGTAATGACCACACACAGTTCTGGAAGGAAAAGGGCAACTTTATTGGTTTTAGTAGCAAGTAGATAGCCTGGTATACAGTATTGGGATGGATACAGAGGATTGACAGGCTTACCTGCCTCTTGATGCCGCCTGCAGCCCACCAGGGGGTAATCCGCCCACCGTGACAGACACTGGGACCACACGGACACGGGTGGATGCCACTCCATGACTCCCACCTGGGGACAGCGGTGGGCATATCGCCCCCAAGCTAATCCAGAACCCATCCCATTCCCAGCTCCCTTTAAGAGGATTCTTTAACTTCCAGGGGCTGCAGACCCTCCACCTGGAGCCCATTAAGCACCAAGATCCATCCCAATGCCCCAACCTGCCAGAGAACGTTGTGCCAAATTGTGCGATGAGCAATAGCACGAACAAAACTTTCTGATCCATGTCTTCAACACCAATGGAACTTAATACAGCTGATTACAATACCAGAAGGGGAG